ACGTTGTTGAAAAGCTGCCGCCAGAGGTTGCTTTTGAAGTATCAGACATGTTGGACAACGTCCCAACAGATAAACCTTTCGACACATTAAGGGAAGCTATAATATATAGGACAGGCAAATCCGAGGAGCGCCGCATATATGACCTGTTCAACACTCTTCAATTGGGCGATACAGTAAGCCTACGCAACTATTACGCAAAATGAAGAATCTACTAGGAAAAAACACAATGTCGGAATCACTGCTCCGCAAGCTTTGGATGGACAAACTGACCACCCACACCGCCCAAATCCTAATGACCCTTCCTGAGGATTTAGACTTAATGAAAATGGCTGTAATAGCCGACAAAGTCAATGAAGCTAAAGCCCTCAATAGCATTCACATACCCGAACCACACGGCACCTCCGTCGACGACTTAATAAACAAGTTGCAACAGCAAATTAACAAGTTGTCAATTCAACTAGATCGTCTAAGCAGAGAGCGTTCGCCCCCAGCCCACAACTTATACAAGTCTCACCGACGTTCGAGATCTAAGTCACGAGTGAAGCCGACCTGTTGGTACCACCGCAATTTCGGGCAGGCAGCTAGACGCTGTACTAAGCCGTGTCAGTTCAAGGCCCAGCCGACATCCACATCTAAACATCAGGCGGGAAACGCCTGCTCATGAAGACGGCGTCTGCTGTTGGGGGAGACAGAATCAACCGTATCTTTTATACAGTAACTTAGATGAGTTATTTTTAATCGATACTGGCGCTCAAGTCAGTGTGATTCTGTCCAGACCAGGTTTTTCTATAAAAAATCTTGGTACACCTTACGTGCAGCAAATGGCTCTCAAATTCAAACCTACGGCCAGGTTTCAATGACCTTATCGGATTAAAAAGGACATTTCAATGGTTTTTCACCGTGGCGGAGGTGAAATTCCCAATACTCGGCGCGGACTTCCTAGCACATTATAAGCTAGTGGTAGATATGTCCAATCATACGCTCATCGACCAAACAACGGAACTTACCCATTTAGGAATTACCTCCACTCTCACATCAACTAAGTTATCCGTTGCCTTGCCGGAGAATAACCCACTCCAACACGTACTGGAAAGGTTTCCTACACTCATTCAACCTATCACATACACCGAAACGGTGAAACATAATACCGTATACAAAATCCAAATATCCGGCCCGTCAGTTTCTTCGCCGCCACGCAGACTCAGGCCAGAGAAATATAAATTAACACGTGCTGAATTTCAGCATATGTTGGATCTGAGCATAATTCGCCTTTCATCAAGCCATTTTGAATCTCCACTCTACATGGTCTCCAAGGCGCAAGAGGGGGCGTGGAGACCCTGTGGAGATTACAGACGTTTGAATGCACAGACAATTCCCGACAAGTATCCTGTACCAAACTCAACTGATTTCGCCGTTTCATTACAGGGAGCTAAGATCGTCACTAAGATCGATTTAAGAAAAGCTTTCTACCAGATCCCAGTGGCCGAAGAAGACATCCATAAGACTGCGATCACAACTCCTTTTGGTCTGTATGAATTAATTCGAATGCCTTTTGGGCTTCGAAACGCGGCACAATCGTTTCAACGTCTGATCGACGAAGCACTGCGTGGTTTGTCGCACCCGTTTGCCTACATCGATGATCTACTAGTAGCAAGCGCCAACATGGACGAACACGTGCTTCACATCACGCAAGTTTTTCAGAGTTGTTTGCCTTTAACTGTTTGGCTAAATTGATGAATTGTACAGTTACTGTTTTTGTAGTGAAAACGTTCACTTTTTAAAAGTAAATTGTAATTTGATTACCACGCGGACAATGGTCGATTGAGTGCTGTGTTGAGTTTGTTGAGAATTTTGAAGTGATGTTGTGTTAGTGAATTGATACGCATGGAGTTTGGTAGCATCTCACGAAACTTGATGACTGACTTGAATTGAGTCATGCGGTTGTTTATATAGACTTTGGTGTTTAAAAATCGGCTCCAGGGAGCTCGGCGGGAAAAGGGATCTGTTTCGACTTTGCTACAGTGTGTTTCTTAACCAACAGAAGATTGAATTTACTGAAACGAAGTGGTGATTAGTTAAGGCTTTTTTTAGGGAAGAATACATCTTTTCCGAAAGGGGTGGAAGGCTAATGGGGAACATTCCACATTATGATTTGTTTTTACTGGCTATCAGTAAATCAACCACATATGCGAAAACGAAAGGTAGTTCTTTGACAACTTCGTCAATAAATCGCTGAAACGTTTGTGCTGCATTTCGAAGTCCAAAAGGCATTTTGTTGAATTCGAAAAGGCCGAACGGTATAGTGACCGCCGTATAGTGACTTGCATATATCATCCTCCGCAACTGGAATTTGATAGTAATCTATTTTGAAGAAAATTGTTGCTTCATGTAGTGAGGTTGTGAAATCGCTAATAAATGGTAAAGAATAGCGATCAGGGCTCGTAATAGAATTAAGCCGTCTGAAATCATCGCATAATCTTCAGTCCGAGTCTCTTTTCGGAGCTAAAGAAGGCAGGTAATTCCCTGTTACATTAGGTTCTGAAACATTTTTTCGGCAAATAAATATTTATCCGGTTGCAGTCTAAGTGGTACTGCATAGGTAGGTTGTCCTGTTGTCTTGATGTGGTGAGTAGTCGTATGCTCGATAAATGTAAGTTGTAAAGGACAGATTGTGTCCAAGTATTGGCGAAGAATGTGGCTGAATTCGTTTTCCGAGGAAAATGCAGCAGCAGCTCCCGTGGTGCATTGTGAATGTCAAAAACTTTTAACTTTGTCTCATCTGACAAAATCTTTTTTTTTTTTTTTGCCAAATCCACTTATAACTTGCAGTGAGTGAGAAAGTCTGATGCAATGAATAATGGGTATTTTAACGTCTGCTACAATAAATACCAATTTGAACTCTCGCTTCAAACCAAAATCCAATCTAAGATCATGGGATTTTATTAAACACACCTCAATGTGTGTCTTGTCTATGAAATTTCCCCCTTTTCAAGGGGTTTTGTTAAACACACCTCAATGTGTGTTTTGTCTTGAAACTTTTCAATTTTTATGACTTTAATTAACACACCTCAACATGTCTTTGTACTTTTCCATTGTCATGTTTTTGAACGATTATCCTCTGTTGCATGTATGCGATCAGCAACATTTGTTTAAATCAGCATCTTCCGTCATAGGTGCTAGGATCTGCGTAGTGGTTGTAAATAATTTGTCCATCCACATACGCCGCAGCATTGTATCATACATTATATTTGGTCCCAGCAAGAATCCCATATGACGTAGCAATTAAGGCTTTTTATCATCCAGCTCGATGTTACTGAATACAAATCCTGCAGCTTACTTTCATTTGACTTGCCAGCTTGTTTAATTATTGCCTGTCTTAGCGTATCGTAAGGCAAGTATTGTGGTAAGGATTCCAAATCCAATAGATCTGCAACTTCTCTATAGCCACTTCTCTGGGTTGTTTCTCAACCACATAGCCGTATCGTTGTCGCTGGGAATTAATTGTGTTCGCGTTTAAGATCACTTGCAATTGCAAGAACCAAATATTGATGTTGTTTGCATTGAACGAAGGACGGTTTAGGGTTATCGCTGTTTTCATTTGCTGTTGTGTCTCGGCGTTCTGCTCCATGATCAATAATGAAAATATTACAGCTGCTTTTTTTTTTAATAATGTTCGTCTCACGTCGTTAAGTCCCCACTTGTTGAGTGAATTGACTTTCTCAGGAGAAGGTTATGAAACTAATTGACTTAGGGGGCGCAGAAAGTGGCTGGTTCTTGTGGCTAACTCATATAAAATAGTGGCAGTGATTATTAATTATTCCGTATACAGTCCAGAATAAAGCAATCTTAACCCAACGTACAACACAATGATTAAGCAAGGCATTTAAACAAGTTAATAAAATGAACAAGATAAAAATTTGTTTATCAACAAATAACAATTTATTTGGATATTTTATACATCGTGTAAAAAGGGTAAGTTCACATATCAGTCAGTTATGTGCCATGAGTGATACACGCTTAGGCGATCATGTATCTTACATGATACATGACTGACGAGGCAGAATTTTTTCAGCAGTAGGTTGTCATTTACTTTCTGCGGTAGACCAGTTGCCATCTATAGCTATAGAACCTGGTCTATCCTGCAATTTACCTATAGCTGGGGAGAGAAGAAGAGGATTAATAATAAGTAAGTGAGGATTATTAAAACGTAAGTGAATGTAATCGATTTGACTGGAATTCGAACTCGGCTCTCCGATTCCTCAATCCCAACCGCTATCCATTACTCTACCGTGCCTCTTAAGTTTACATATACACATTTGAAAGGGAAAAGTTAACATACACACACTTAAGTGTGTTTAATAAAAACTATTTGAAAGAGGAAAGTTACGTACATACATTTAGGTGTGTCTAAATAAACCATGAAAATGAAAAGGTACAAAGACACACGTTTAGGTGTGTTAATTGAATCCATGAAAATAGAAAAGTTCCAAGATAAAACATATATTGAAGTGTGTATAATGAAACCCCTTAAAAGGGGGAAAGTTTATACCTTACATTCATTAATCAGAGAAGCATGATGTTTCAGTTGATTAGTAAATCGGTTGAGTTGACAATGTGTAATCAATTTGCCAACTGCTTATATTTGCTTTAAGGTCTGTATTTACAACTTCCCTTAAGCAGGTTCTAGCTCACAAAAAGTCCCTTGAAAACGCAAACGAAATGCTGTCAGTTGTTGATTAATAATTTGTATTATATTTTGAATGTTTTCAACACTACCAGAAGTGCCACTCGAATCCTATACGTAAATAACTGATTTTGGTAATTCAACTCCTGATTCTTGAGATTAAAACTTCCAGTCAATTCGACAAACGTATGGTCAGTTAGATGTGTATTATATATATACAGTTGATTTGTGGTACCTTCAGCATCCAACTCCAGAGTTTAATAGACGGGCCCTCCAGCAACTACCCCGTCTACTTGTCTGGGAGTACGGTAATATCAAATACCGGTTCTCACCCTATCCCTGAAGTTAAGCAACGTTGGACCTGGTTTATACCCTGATGAGTGACCATTTGCGAATACTTGGTGCTGTAAGCTTGGCCATGCCGGTGGTGTAATGGATAACGGATCGGAGTGAGATATCAGAGAACTGAGTTCGAATTCCACTCACTTCACTTCTATCTATTTACAATAATGTTCTCCTTGTACAAGAGCCACTCGAGGTAGAGAGTTACAGAGTTAAATGTACCATTCCAAGCAAGGTGATAATGAGACCGAAATGCAAAGGGCCATCGGAAGTAAGAGAGAAGGAAATGACTTCCAAGGGAACAAGAAACCTATTCCTAAATAGGAAACAAGGGATAAACCTCCACTCCTGTTCAGTAAATACTCTTTAGAAACATGTGAATTCATTTGTTCTCCCCCTACCCAACCCAGCTATAGGGAAATAGCTGGACATAGTGAGCAATGTAGCCTTTTCAGCAACCAATTTAGGAAAACTCTAAATTCAAACCAGCCTGGAGAGTGTTGGCAAAGGGTGGATGAGCTTATTATGGGAGTGAATGGCCAGCATTCAGATAACAGATGAAAAACCCATACCCCCCCCCTGCAAAAACATAGTGCATCAGTACAGGGCATAACATTATTTGACATATGGCACATAGTGCATCAGTAGAGGGCATAACATTATTTGACATATGGCACATAGTGCATCAGTACAGGGCATAACATTACAATGGAGAGACTCTGCATTGCAGGGTAATTGAAAACTTTAAACAATTCACTAGTGAGTATTGTTCAATAAAATCTTAGAATTTACTGAATGCTCATCTGAGGCTCTCACCAGGAGAATCCATTTATTTATATATATAAATAAGCATGTTCATTATAACAAACACATTGACATTGACATTGTATGTTATATTTTTATTATATAAGCATGAAACAGACTGTCTTCGCTGGGTGTTGACCTCTTTTATATTTGCATACATTCCAAGCCTGTTATTAAACACTTTAACACATAAATATAACATACCTTAAGACTATATTTTAATATATATATATATAATTTATGTATTACTAATTTTAACACGTGAAAATTTCACGGCTTTCCTATGTTAAATTTACCGTGAATCTTAATTTAATGATTGAATAAGCTCATGGTGACTTCTACGACGATAAAATATCCATAGAAAGTCTCCTATTGCCTCGTTAAATATTTGAGCTTAATAACTTTAATAAAATATTGCAATAACAATCATAACTATGAATGCTGGTTGTTATTTTGAGAAGTAAGGGGGTACGAATGAAAAGATTTGAAATTGACAGCATTTTCCATTTCACTGAAACAAACATTAAATATTTCTATCTTCCCTTCTTTCTTTTATTTTCTCACTAAAAAACTAAGTAGCCCCTTTGATGTCTTTTGTTTTCTCATGCAATCAAAATGGAATAGTCCATCATTTATGAGATGTTAGGAGACGTTAAACACTTCTTTCTTTTTTTCGCTGAAATCAAATAGTGCCTCTGATATATCTTGCCTTTCCACTGACAGGCGCAATGGTCGTGCAAACTAACGAAGGGAGGGAAAAGCAAAATTATGATATTATATTTTGATTTATATATATTATTATCAGAGTTTGTTGAAAACCAACAAAAGTGCATATTACCTATGAACAAAAAACAAATTAAACTCACCATTTACTACAAAAATAAAGTCCTCTAACATGATCGTTCAGGCAGTTAAGTGCTATACATGATAAAAGCTTGGGTGATCATGTTTCTCTTTCAGTCCATGGAAGTAAACTGGTTATCAACCAAGGCTATAGGACCCTGTCTGGCCTACTATTCAACCCATATCTGGGGGAGATTGATTTTTACTTTTCCAGGGGATATTTGCGCGTTAGGATTTTTCGCGTTATCCATTTACACCACACTCGAAACTAACAATTGAAACAATATATTCATTTGTTACACAATGATTACATTATCATGCAGGTTAACATATCATAAATGAGAAATTGCGATCCTATGCAATTTACTATGAACACAAAAAAAGTTCCACAACACTGTCATATAATGTAAATAAGAGGCTCATGTGGAAACCGAATGCAATTTTTATTTATGTCAGAAAGTACTTCCTTGTCTCGATTCTTTTATAATTTTCATATATCATATATATATATATATATATATATATATATATAATAAATATCTCTAAAAGTAAAAAACAAATCATAGGATTTACAATCACAAATCTCTCACATGTTATAATTTCAACCAAAGTACTATACAAAATCACATGACACAGAAACATAAAATTACAATAACAAAATCTAAGATTAAGGTTAGACAGTTCCGTGTCACTCACACTATAATACCTAACAAAACAAATTGTAAACAAATATTACAAATTTTGGATGCTACTCAAGTCAAAACAACCCACAATCAACAAAATACCTTATGATTTTGTTTCATTATTCAAATCGTCAGGACAAAGGCGGTAAATGCATTTTTTTTTTTTTTGTGAAATGAGAAAAAAAGCATATGCCTTTGTGCATTATATGATTTTTTTTTAAATTGAGGTCTAACTTCATAAAATTCTTTGTATCAAAATATTGTCTAGTCTCATTATTCAATTTGCTCATTTCAAAAATGGAAAATTTCTGCCTGATCAACCCATATGTAAATAATTAGACCAAAGTTCATATGCGAGAAAATAATGCATTTTTGATTGGATTATTATAATCACACACACTGTGTATTTATTTACAGTGTGGTGTGTGTGTGTGTGTGTGTGTGTGTGTGTGTGTGTGTGTGTGTGTGTGTGAAACATGTATTTTGGGAACTTTGTTATCCCTGACATGTTTTTTAATACAAGCGAGATAAGAAATGTAAATTGCTAGTTTTATTTGCAACTGGGAATAATAGTTTCTTTTATTTTATATTTAATAACTTAGGGACATTTCCAAAATACATGTGAACGCAATAAGCATCATTATTGCCATCATTATCTTCAAGCACAATCATTAAAATAACTGCCACCTTCACAAGACTAATGTACAGATTCAAGGAAAATTATTAACTTGCAAAATTCATACATGCAGAATCTCCATCAGAAATTAATTAGATGTTAGTTAAAATATTTATTTCAGCCTTTGTTTGTTTCTTATTTCTTTGTGCTATGAACTATCATATTTGTGCTATGAACTATCATCTAGAGATTCACTTTTTGAGCTTTCACTTGAGCAACTTATTGAATTCACATGAAATTTAACAAATGTACATTTCAAGAGCTGATACATATTGACACCAGCTTGACTACAAGTGCTACTTGAAGAAATTATTTCCATGTGAAGACTTGTCAATTACATATTATAGGCTGTTTAACTGTTATTTCGGATCTTTATTAAATAAATATTTGTTAAATATGAACATTCACGAAGTTTCTCCAATGTGCTTATTTAATAATAGTTTTTTCAAAGTAAGATCTAGGTTAGTTCATAATGTTTTTTTCCTGATTTATGCAAAATATAAATTGAAGATACCAAAATCAAGCAAGTACAACAATCTAAATAACTAGGAAGTATTTTAACAGAGGACAGAATGTGAGAAACTGAAATCCGAAGGGGTGTTGAGATAGCAAAATATGCCTTAAAAAAGCTAAGCATTAATAAACAAGAAAATTTCATTACAAGGAAAAGAGTACTGAATGTAATATTTATCCTCCTATATGACAGTGAATACTGGGCCATCCCTGCAAAATGAAGAAGAAAAGTAGTTCCACAGAAGGATGCTGAGAATACCATGCATGGGCTGAACATGTGAGCAACAAGAAAGTTTTAGAGGAAATGAAAACGAAAATGACACTTATACTTAACATCAGAAAGAGATAGTTGAAATTTCTAGGGCAGAAAGATGAAGAAAGATGGCTTAGAAAATTTGACACTGACAGGACATAATGAAGACAAGAGGGACAGAGGAAAATTACACATAATCTACCTAACAAGATGTGTAAGTGTATGACAGAAAATAGTTTAGGAGAGATAACAAAAAGATATTTACTAAGAGCTACAAAGATTGGGAAATTGTTGAAAACCATAATTGCCAATGTTCTGAAGGACATAGCACATAGAAGAAGAATCCATATATTTCATGAGCACAAATACCCTTTGGAAATCCATCCTCCCCTCAAGCTATGGGTTAAATGGCAGAGCTGATGGTGCTCTCTTACCTTGAGGTGGCAACCAGTTTGAACTGAATTCAAAAACAGCCTGAAGAGGAATGTACTGCCTCAGGTTATTTTGCCTTAGACACATAACTTAGTATGGTAATGATAATATTAACCATTTCTTTATAAGGAAACATTGGCATTCATTGACTGAGCAGCCAAAACTGCTTTCTGTTGAATTTTATAAAAATCTTTCTTTTAAAACAATTTCTCAGAAAAATAGGTTTCGTAAGTCCAGTAGCTGTTATCCCTTTTTATGTTATTGATGGGGTTTTCCTTCCTAATCTTTTGTTTGGAGTAGTGTAGAGCATCAGCATCTTGATTATGTCATTATTCTGTCTTTGAAGTTATATGTGCTATCCATTTTAATTGTTGCTGCTGTTGAAAGTCCACAAGTGATGTGGTTTTTTGTTATTTGGTACAGCTCTTTGTTTGTGCTTCTGTAGCACCAGTCAACAAGGTTAAAAAAAGATGGTCCTTGCTAAGACCGACATGCTTCATTCACTGAAAGCAATTTTTAACTATTGATCTGAGAAAGCAGTTGTATACAGCTAACAGTATTTCTGAAGAAGTTTGATGTTGTGCATGTCATCCATTACGCTTGCAGTATATGTGGTATCCCTATGACCCCAATGGGCACACAACACTTTTATCTAGATTATTTGAATCCAATCAAGAATGAGTATAAATAATAACAGAATAGATAGTGGAGTAGTTAGCTAAGTGCTGTCATATTCATTCTTTCCTCTGTAAACTATCATGTCATTAATTAATTAACCACTCACAAACATTGCTGCTAAAGCAAAAGCATGACAAAAAAAAACTTAGTCATGTATCCACCCTGACAGCTTAAACAGATTCACTTG